GGATACGACACGGGCTCACACGACCGTAATACGGCGCATACCAAACGGGTTATTTACGGCCCGCATACGGTCGTAATTTCGACGGATACGGCCGTTCACGTCATCGTAAACGACTGTGTACGGCCGTTTACGGGCACAGTAATGTTCGACCTGGGTACAAAGTCACAGAAACAAGTATAGTTTGTTCTTTCAAGAGTTTTTGCAAGAGTGTTATCAGTAATGGTGATGGTATTTAGAACAGAAGTTCGTGTTGATGATTGAGATTGAGGTGTTAGATAAAGTCTTTGATTATTTGCGTCGGAAGCATTCAACTGATTGTTGTTTTCAAGACCATTTGAATCGCTTGTTCCTGTATCAGATATATCAGAATCATATACTAAAAAAAAACCAAACCTGAACTTTTTCCAAAGAGATATAACTAATAATATATAACTTACTTTCGTTGAGTTTATAAATTAAATTCTCGGGAAGACTTTCTTCATCCTCTGTACCAGATTGACTGATAACTTTCTGTATTCCAAAGTCTGATATAGATGGGTCTTGTTTAAAAACCATTTCATAAGGTGTTTTATTTGTGATTTTAGCAACATTGTTGGTATTAATAGCATAGACAACTGGACCCAAACCTTGACAGGAATATTTGTTGAAAGTAATGAAATGTAATAACCATGAACATGTACTTACCTTTAGACCAGTTATTTGTATGATGACAGTGCATCCATTTATCTAAGGCCATTTCCAAAGTATGGTTGTCATATTCAATCAACCTTTGTGTTTCAGAATGACGATATTTACCATTTATAATTACTAAATCTGTCCAAGTCTTTCTCATATGCTACAGAAAAAGAAAAGAAGATATTTCATTTCATTCAAAAGATTCTTCAAAACACATACTTTTATAATTTGAGCAACAAACTCCTTTTCGTTGCCACTTTGAAGTATGCAAGGAGGACCAAAAGCATAAAATTGATTTAGCAGTTTTTCCGCCACAGACTCCGGTTGTTTACATTCGAGAGGATAAGCCCATGAGAACTTGGAAAAATGATCTTTAACATGTAAAATCCAGTTAAATTTGCCATCTGGACGACATCTCATATCGATGAAGTCTACCTGAATACGTGTCAAATAACCTGTTGTAGAAATGATCTGCTCACCTATTTAACAAAGGGATAAGAATTGAAATCAACATTAGTAGTAGTGTGAACACATCACACTTACTGCTAGGAGACTTAGAAAAGTTTTGTCGATTGCTGCACGAATCACATAACTTAATGAAAATCATAACAACATCATACGGAATCCAAGAATATTGCGCTTTAACCTAGAAATTCCGTTTTCTTTTTACTAAAAACAAAACATTACACATTACATACTTCTTTCCATGTATTATCTCTTCCATGATGGCCTACACGATTATGACATTCACATAGTTTTGTATAAAGTTCTTCATACGTTACGACTGGACGACTCACTTCGTCATTACTATATACGACATTTACAATACCATTTTTAATGAGTATGAAATGCTTCTGAACCCAATACTTGAACTGTGGATCGCCCCAACCATCGTGCAAAACCAAAATAATGTCTTCGTACATTTCTTTTCTAATTACATACTTAGCGCGAAATTTTTCATTAAGATTTTGAATGTGGATGTCGAGTTTTTTGTAAAATATGTCCATGTATAATCTCAAATTGTATAAATGTTAAATTTATTTTTATCAGTATTGGTTCCATCAAAGATGTTCTCGTTTTTGGTAGATCTATACGTTCGAGTTCTCTCTTTGTGTGCTATCTCTTGCGGCTACTATACATTACCATATCATGCTGATTTTTACCTTTATTTTCTATGAGAAAAAAACAGAAATAACCAAGCGTCTTACCACTGGTTAGGGGTAGTTTAATTCTCCTACAAAAAATTCAAATTTCACTTTCCTCTAGAAGAAACTGAAATTTAAATTTCTCCTAGGGGAAACTGAAATTTAAATTTCTCCTAGGGGAAACTAAAATTTGAGTTTCTCCTACACAATACATACGAATATGCTTCTTCTTACAACGGACGGAGAATGGAAAAGAACACACACACACAAATACATCATGTAAACAAAACGTACCTGCAAGCCCTTCTTTTGTTGTCGTTTCTCATCAGCATGTTTATAAATGATCAAGGTTGAGTTGTCAGAGTAAGTAAATATTAAGTTGAGAAAAAACCCAGTAACTTGACTGAATATAAATATGCAGCATCAGTTGCTATTTCATATAGCAAAACAAAATCGATACATTCCAGCAGTAATTTCCAACGTGAGTATACCTAATTTGGGTCAAAAAAGTGAGCTCCAAACTGCGTAAACTCCAAATTTGGACCTCACTTCACGCCAGCCCATATTTTACCATTATTTGAAGTCCACGTTTTGTCTCAAGGGTTATCCTATGAAGGTATCCATAGGTCTTCAAGCTCTATCCTATGAAGGTACCTATAGGTTCTCAAGCCCTATATTATGAATGTACCCATGGGTCTTCAAGCTCTATCCTATGAAGATATCCATAGAGCTATAGTATGAAGGTACTCATAGGTCCTCAAGCCCTATATTATAGAGATATCCATAGACCCTCAAGAGCTATAGCATGAAGACATCCATTGGTTCTCAAGAGTTATTCTTTCGGTGGTATCCACACGTTCTGAAGGGTTATCCTATACAGGTACAGGTAGATCTTCAATGGTTATCTTATAGAGGTCCCACAAGTCTTCAAGATTTGTCTTACAGTGGTAGGCCTTAGTACACAACTAGTAACATTGACTTAGTGCAATGCAGCACTGATTCGTTCATTCTAATGAGTTAAAATATTGGAGGTAAGCCAAAGCACAATTAGCAAATAAAGTACGACTTGTCATGAAGTATTGATCGAACTAACGTCAAGTTTTACGTATGTATGTTTGCAGTATTGTCATTGTTACTGAACATGGTATCCTGATTGCTTAACGAGATCGTCAATCATAGTATTTTTGAAATTTTTAGCATACTTTAACCATAATGTTTGGGCCTTTACTGTGGCACACTACTTACAACCTCGTGTACCTATGTGATATGGTATCCAGGCTTTTAAATAAGCACTCAGATATTCGTCTTACATTCTCGCGCTGCGTCTAGTCATGACATTGATTAGGATTCCAAATCTACGTGATCATTATTTTGTTTGTTATCGGTGGTGCATTCTATTGTTATATGATTTGGCATTCGAATTAGGTTTTGATCATGTGTTCTTGTGGTTGGATAAGCGTCGCAGGCTTTCTATGGCCTTCAAGCATTTACTCTGGTACCAGTTTGATTGTTTTGAGATCAGCTCAGTGACATTATTGCTAACCTGTTAAAACTTGTTTTTATGAATGCATATACAGTTTGTAGAGGGTCTCGTGACGCTTCATCGGTGTAGGTGTGGGGTCTGGGAGTGTGGGAGTGGGTGTGGGCGGGTGCAGCTATGAATGAAAACCAGATCCACACTTACACACCCACACCCAAATACCCACACCCACACCCTGCTTTGAATAATAATCAAAAATTGATCTCTATTATTTTTAACAAGAATAATCGAAGAAAATGATCAATAGAAAAGTTGTAGCGCTTGAAATTCTCTAACGAATGGTTGGTAAGA